TGGGATGGCTCAAGGTAAAGTTCATTTATGGACTGGCCGATGGGTGGAAAATCTTCTGGGCATTGCCAAAGGTCACGCCGGGTCTGCCCGACAACCTGCGAAGCCTCCCAAGTATTTTGCCTTCTGGCCTGCTCATTCCTTCCTTCGCAGCCTGTCTCTGACGACTTGCGCCTTCCTGGCAGGCACTGACTTCTCGTGATGCCGTGCACGCCACCCTTTTCATACCTCTCCACCTTTTCCCACGACATGGCCACAACCCGGAGCAGCCTTTCCATTTCTCGATGCCTCGACAAAGATCTGTTTGTCTTTTAAAGGGCTGATCAGGCATCATTTTTGTGAAACAAGTTTCCCCCGATTCTCTTCTCTCCAGATTAATCATTTCTCTTCCTACACTCCTTCTAGGCTGCCTCTATTCTGTGCATCAAGTTACCTGGGTGCTCATTTCGTGTCTTTTTTCATCTTTTCCCCTAGACTGAACTTTTTTATTAAAAAAAAATTTTTTTTCAATTATAGTTTACATTCAATATTATATTATTATTTCAGGTGTACAGCACAGTGATTAAACAGTCATACTTTACAACGTGTTCCCCTGACACTTCCAGGACCCACCTGGTAGACTGAGCTTCTTACCAGCTGTAATTCTCCCTGTACCTCCAGCGCCTAGCAGACTGCCTGGAACATAGCAGATGAACGCAACTGATTTTGGGCTGTTGCCCAGACTGCTGAGGACGTGTCTAGAAAGGAGAATTATGTTATTTTGGGAGATTGGAACACTCGGAATTATTCGGGCATCATTGTTAGTGGTTCGGTTAGCATTTTGGTGTTTCTGGTTTAGGAGCTGTTGGCTATCCAAATCTATTCCAATAAATTCCCTCAGTGCAATGTCTGTTCTCTCTCTCTCTCTCTCTCTCTCTCTCTCTCTCTCTCTCTTTCACACACACACACACACACACACACACACACACACACACACATACACACACAGGGTTCAGTGGTGGGAGAATTAGAATTTACTGTCAATTCTGCCTGGAGCTCAACCTATGACATTCCTGGAGGAAAACATCTGTGCTTCCTCTAGGGTTCTCATGCATTTTCGTTACAGGGCCCTCTTACTATGAAGGAGGGGAAAGTTCAGAGGCACATCATAAAATATTCATCACATTGCTGGCATTCTGCAGAGAATTGAGCTGGTTAAGTGGCTCCCTGCTCGCTCTTACCTACCCTGAGCCGGGAGCATCTAGATTTTGATTGGACTATTGCCAGAGCTCATTAGCATAGTGTACCTTGACCTGGGTTAGGGAACAGCGGCTTCTGCCTAGAAAATGACCAGAGCCTGCTGGGACCTGAACCAGGGATGAGATTTTTATAATACAGTATTGCCTGCATCTCCATACGAAGTCAAAAGGTAAGGAAGCCAGAAATCCCAAGAAAATGCAAACATAAGGGATGCAGTAATGGCCACCCCATTCTTACAGGGTTCCATCTTTCTAGTTAGTTTTTTGGTAGAAATGATGAAAATTGAATACACTTTGGCCCGAGTTGCTTTAAAAAGAGAAAGTCTTGACAAATTTAGACTTTTTAATCCTGGAGAAAAGCTCAGTTTGTTTATGTCTTAAGGGCGGCAAATAGTCTTTTCTTCTTTTCTATGATTAGCTCCTATCCTTTGGTGAAATATTAAATTAATATTTATTTATTTGGCAAAAATTTATTTCAGAAAAAAATTAAAAGACAATCTAGTTATTCTGTAGCAAGATATTTGATTCCCCTCTTCTTAATTTAAAAACAAAAGAAGTGTGTCTATATTAATTAGGCTTAAAACAGTGTTTTTCCTTTCGGGAAATGTGAATCTTGTTATTCATTTGTTTTGTTTTTTTAGAAAAAAAGTTCAATCTATCCCAATTAGCGATAACAAATTTTAGACCACTTGAATCACTGTTGCTAACTTTCAAAGAGGTAAGTACATAAATCTGTCCCTATCACATTTTCACTTGGTATTTGTGTCTAATATACTTGTTACTAAAGTCTTCTAAATTAAAGTCAACCTGTGGCATCATTTCTTAATTAACTTGGTGTTTATTTTCCAAACATAGAATTTGATTTGAAACTCACGGGAATTTCATTTTGCATGCCAGCGTTTGAAATGGGAAGTGGGGACTTCATGCTCTTTGAGTCTGTGAACACTAAGTGATGGGCGAGTGTGGGTAGACAGGGTCGGGAGGTCTCTTCAATTCCGTTTAGCTTGTTATTTAATGGCCAGACTTCATTTATACGCTCAGGTCAACAGTCTTCTCTATCCATACACTTGGATACTTGTCAGTGATTGACAAGTGTTAGGGTTAGATAAAGTCACATAACTAAGGGACAAGGCTCATGGGACCATTAATCAGCTTGTGGTTTGAGTTTGCTGTTGAAGAGTTCTACATAACACCATCATGTCCTTTGTTTTTATAAGAACACCAGCAAATGATAATGATATAGATCTATGGTTGGGGCTTTGTGCACGCAGAGGGCTGACTTAAGTTGTACTCAGATTTCCGACTACGTGCGGTATTGGCACCCCTTACCTCCACATTGTTCAAAGGTCAACTATACACGCAAACATGTTTCACTTCGTATTCTACTAACAAGCACATTTCAGCTGCAAAGTGATTCATTTTTCCTCAGTAGAACACTTCGAACTAACATGTTTTCTTAATTTGTAAATCTCCTTTAACAGATTATAATTAGAAACTAGAGCAGTATTCTTCATGGGGAAGAAATGCAGTTTGCACCAAAAATTTTTGAATATCGATTGCTTACATAAAACAATTTAATCAAAGTAAGGTGAGACAGAATTTTCTTGTGCAACAGGAA